ATTCCAACTTATTTCCTGGGGAATTGCACCTTCTTAAGTTGGAACAGGGGTCCTCTCCAATCTTGCACAGGAGAATATGTGCGTCTAAGGGATCTCTTAAATGTTGGTTACAGATTTGGCAAATTTGTCTCTATGTTGCATGCATGCACAAGTCTATTCCAAAAGGAGGTTATTTACTGAACACACAGGAACAAAACAAAACATAATCTCTTCATGATTTAACTGACTGGTACTATGAACTCCAGGATGGAGGTAATCATTTTGTATACCACAAAACAATACTAGGCATATTGGAGAGAAAATAAAATTTATAAATAAACTTCTGTGCTCAGATTGCCAAAGCGAGCCAAAAGACAAATCTGGTGTCTAAACTGTTCACTCTTGTGCAAAGAAGGCTAGGCTGGGGCGTGCACAATGGGTCTGGCTGCACACGGGCTGGACTATGGATGTGGAGGCTGGACAAAGTTTGGCATCGGCAAATCTGGGTTCCAGGGATTTCTAGGATAAAGAAGGGAAGAAGGAGAAAGAGAGGCACCAGAGAGGAGGATGGCAAGGCCAGGGAGGAAAAAAAGAGACTACAACAGTTTGCAGGAAAGGAAAGGATAGTGACCAGTCTGTGTGTAATTTCATGTGGGACGAGAACGTAGAACCAACAGGGTACCTGTACTGAGCATTGTGACATCACCTAGTTTCTCCTTGTTTTTCCTTCCTGGAAATGGATACAGACCCACTGTTGGAACAAGAGCATTGACTTCTCCTCCAGAGAACCTGGCTGACTACAGTAGCTCAGAGTTGAAGAAAAGGTAAAAAGGACAGCAGAACGGGATTTTGGTCAGAATCCCTCCCACTGGATGACCAGGGGCAAGAATGAACTGAAGTGGCCAAGCTTCCAACCAAAAACTGACTAAAAATCAGACCTAATTCGTATGCATACTCCTCTGTGCACATGATAAAGAAAAAGAAGTAAAGGCGCTGGAGGCAACAATATGTAGAATAAGCAGCTTCAGAGTATAGGACAGGACTAGATAATACCTGTCTAGGGATCCTGTTGAATTGTTCCTAGAGGTGTATAATTTTTTTGTTTTTGAAAATACGATTCAAAATATGTCTGCTGAAATTGTTTCCATTATGTGCCAGATATACCAGATATGTGCTTGTGCTTGATTTGTATAATCTTCCCAGTGTGCTTTCGACAAGTTTCCTCTGTAGACTTGAATTAGCCCAGTTTAGCCTATGGAGGAAAGCAGCTTAACTTTCATATGTGATTGCTGCTCAATTTGTCCAGCTTTTCTATTTGTGCAGAGTAAGCAGCTACGTGAACAGGAACTGGGCATGCGACAAGTAGCAAGGCCATGCTTGAAGAATTCCTGAAGATGGTGCTCAAGCACAGGGAAACTCCAGATGTAATAGTCAAGGATGATTTGAGAAAGTTTGAGCATCCTCTGAGCCCTAAGTAGCCAGAATGGTTGTTCTGGGAAGGAAGGTTGAAGGTTTTCAGCAGTCAGCACTCAGCAACATGAGTCAGCAGTGTGATGCGGTGGTCAAGAGGGCGAATGCCACCCTTGGTTGCATAGCCAGAAGTGTGGCTTCTAGATCAAGAGAGGCATTACTACCACTCTACACGACTCTGGTGCGCCTGCAACTGGAGTATTGTGTTCAGTTTTGGGCCCCTCATTACAGAAAGGATATAGCCAAGTCGGAGTCAGCGCAGCGTAGGGCTGCAAGGTTGGTGGCTGGTTGGCAGGGGATGCCGTATGAGGCGAGACTGAGGGAACTGGGTCTCTTCAGCCTGGAGAAGAGGAGACTCAGAGGGGATCTGTTGGTGACATACAGGTATGTGAGGGGATGTCACACGGAGATGGGTAGAGACCTGTTCTCCCCTGCAGAGGAAGGCAGCACGCGCTCCAACGGAGCAATGCTCAGGGAACCCAGGTTCCGTTTGGATGCCAGGAAGCACTTCCTGACAGGACCCCGAGGGTGTGGAATGGGCTTCCACGGGAGGTCCTTGAGGCCCCATAGGTGAGGGTGTTCAAGGATAGGCTGGACATCCACATGGTGGGCATGTCGTGAGCGGAGCCGGCTGGTGCCGGAGGTCAGACTAGATGGCCCGGGAGGTCCCTTCTGACTCGCTCTGTTTCTGTGTTTCTATGTTTTGGGACAGAAACCCAGTTTTTGTGCCCAAGAGTGATTTCAGTGAGGGAATGGAAGTCAACAGACATGGGTGGGGAAACTAGACTTATCCAACATCTGAGACTGAATGTAATCCTATGTATGTTTATGCAGAAATGTCCCACAATTCCAAGCATGCCCCAGCCATAATCTACATTTCTATTACCAAATGCCAATGATATACTTGGCACCAGAATGCTTGCTTTGGCTTCTTTGCCTTCTCCGCTGGGAGACATAAGACCTGAAGGCTTGCCGGTACACTGGCTGTCAGACCGAACTTCTTGAATGGCACCAGCATTTCATGAAAACACTGGGGCAGAGTGTCTCTCAGGCTTCCATGCCAAGCAGTCTGCCAAGAGAATCATCATCCAAACTGTGGGAACTATCCCACTTGACTTTTTACAGCTGTTGTCTTATGCCCCGAGGTCTATTCCTCCCACATTTGAGAAACATTACCCTCAGCACTAAAGCCACTGTGACTGCATGCACACTGTCTAGTCAAGCAGACTTAAAATGTGTTGACTGCGGAACCGCATTCTAATTCGATATCCTCTGAAAGGAACTGAGGCTACCTACAGGGTGACTGGAGCCTGTCATTGCAGAATTCAAAGAACTGGCCATGACCTATTCAACTCTATACCACTTAGGGCCAAGGTACCTGCAAAACTGCCTCCTCCCATTTATGATCCTGCCCAGTCCTTCTGATCAACCTGAAAGGCCCTTCTACTGAGCCCACTGCCATCTAAGGCTTGATTTTTGGCAACATGATGGAAGGGCTTTTCGGTGGCTGCTCCCAGACTGTGGAACTGCCTCCCAAAGGAGGCTGACTTCACTCCCTTATTGCTGTCCTTCTGATGGCAGGCAAAGGCCACTTTATTCAAGAAGCCCTGTGGAAACCATCACACTTGTCAAGGAAGGGCACGCAAGGACTCTTTGACTCAGATCCATGGTTGTCTGAGTAGGGTGTCTGGCAGGTGGCTGTCACCCCACCCTACACAAAAGCTCAGATCCAAAGTATGTCCTGCTGAATGAGTAGGGCAGGTAACAATTGGGACAGATCATGGCAGCCATGGAGCTGAGTCAAGCTATGCCTGACAAGGCAAGGTCAGTAGTATGTTGAAGTCTCCCAGCACAAAGTCCAGCCCCACTCCCAATCCCACCTTGTAGGAGGACACAGGTGAGCAGTGCTGGAAGAGACCGATTTGCCTAATCTCTGTAATACAAGGCAGGATACAGAGCACTCATCCAGGATCAAGTACTGGTTGGTGGTTGCTTTCTCATTCACCCTCCTAGCGGCGGCAGCACCTTCAACCCAAGGGGATTTTCAACCAGAACTACTCAGGCTCCCTAATGTGGAAGAGTATAGAGGGCAACCAACATTACCATCATGAACCAGCTGGCTTCTGCTCTCTACCGGTTCAGTGACTACTCCTATACCTCTCCACCTCCCTGTTCCTTTCAAAAAGGTATCTCCCTAGACCTCGGGCTGCAAAGGTCTGGTCTTGCAAAGAGGCAGATGTTCTCCGGCTCTGGAAAGTTTTTGTGGGGCAGGCACAGGCAGAGGACAGGAGACAGGGTGGTAAAAGTCCCTTCCAGTCTTCCTGGACAGATGTCTCTTCTGTGCCCTTGTAGTAGAAGACATATAGTAAGTCTGGCATGCACAATTTGTGATATAGCAAGCCAAATATGCAACACCCTACCAGTGAAACCAGGCAGACCTTCAGGTGTCTGACAGCACTTAGCTTTGCAGTCCCAGGTTGTTGATACTGGTGAGTGGGCCTTCACTGTTGTGGTGGTGGATTGGGGTGTCATACAAATTGAATAAGCCTACTGCAAGTGACTGCAGACTATAAATAAAGGTGTATAAGCCTTTATGTAAGAGTGAGAAAGGGTGAGCCTGCAAGAATTCAAGTCTCACTTCTACCATAAATTGCACCTTAGCAGCACATGTATAAACTAGGTATAATGAACTGCAAAGATGAGAGAACCAAAACCGAAGTCCACAACCGCACAATTCCTCTACTAGGACCAAGTAAATTGCCACAAAAAAAGTTGTCAAAACCTAATAAATACTGTAAGATGCTTCCTAAGCTAAAATGATTGATTCTGCACATTCAGGCAGGAAATAAGTCCTACAACTTCCAGTATTCCCAGCTAGTACAGCTGCCTCCGGAATGCTGGGAGGTGTGGCACTTTAATTTCCCTGTTCAAACACGTAGAGGGTTGCCCCCTCAACTAATTTTTAATATAGAATTTCGGAAGTATTTGACGGTCCATACTCTAGATGCTTCGTTTTAGTCAGCTTTGCAAGCACATATCCTGCGTAAAGGGAATGCGCCCTTTTCCCTTTCGTAACATCTGCAATTTCCAAGCCGACCCGCCACGTCGCGTGGTCCGTCTCACCCCATCGCGGTTTCGGGATTTACTCCTTGCGTCTCAGCTAAAGGTCATCGGAGGCCTCTTTCCACCTATGCGCTTTTCCTGAGCAACGCTTCCTGTGCAAAAGGCGGCCGAGGCCACCCTCGCAGCCCCTTTCCCCTGCCCCGCCCTTCCCTTCCCTCGATTACACCCGAGAAGAGCGCAGGCATTCCTCCGGTTACACTTTCCAGCGGCGGGCGAGCCGCGGGCCGTGCACGCCCCCTTCCTAGGCTCCGCCGTGGAGGCACGTCACTGGAGGCCGTTCCCGGCGCCTGGGTCCGTTCCAAGGGCGCTCTGCTGGCAGCCGGACGGGCTGGAGGTGGGGCGGGGATGGCCAAGCCGGGCCTAGGCCCGCCTTCCTCCGGGCCGCTCGCTGGCACGGAGCGCGCAGCGAAGGACTTCGCCGCTTCTCCGACGGGCTCCGGGTGAGCCGCGTGCTGCTGGCGTTGGCGGGAGAGGCCGGGAGTCTGCGGCGCAGCGTCCTGCGAGCAAGGCCGGGCGACCGCAAGGGGCTTTCAGCCTCTCCGGAGCGGGTTCTGAGCCAAGGTGAACCAGTCGGAGAAGGGCAGTGTTTCCCGAGCGGCACGGCGTGGAGGCGGGGGCCAGCCTCTAGCGAGTCCGTGACCCTCTGTGGGTTTGTCTTGCCTCGGGAAGGGCAGCAAGGCGCACAGGTGCGGCTCCGCCTGGCCGCGCACCTGGAGTGCTGAGGGGCTTCTTGGTTTGGGGGCACCGCGCGGCTTACTGAATGGGTGGGCGGACGTTCTGGGTCTTATCACCCTGGTCTGCCTTGCTTCCTTAAAGGACCCAGGAGATAAAAAGTTTACTAAGAGTAAGAAAAGTTCCTCTTTCTAGCAACAGTTGGAAGTGTATTGGTGCAACGATCCCACAGCAGTTCAGTTTCAGCTGTGTTTCATAGAATTAGATAGGCTAGCATGCTGCTGTTTTAGGACTGGGAATATTCCTCTCAGGGTTACTTCACTCATTTAGAAACCAATAACGTGTGTGTTGCTGGGACGTTTGGTGCGTATCATGGCTCATACTGCGCAAAAATATGAGGAGGAAATTGCGTTCCTTTTTCTACATCTGATATGGATGTGGAATAAACACAGTAATGGATCTTAGTTAGGGTGCAACCTTTTGCATGTTTAGATAGAAAAAGCCCTATAACTCAGGCATGGTGGGAGTTGCAGTACATTTTTTATGTCAAAACATGCATATGGCTTCACCTTTATCTTGGGAGCCCCACTAAATTCACTGGGACTGAGTTCTGAGTAGAACTATATAGGAATGCACTATTAAAGGATCACAGATTTCATCTTCAGACCTCAAGGTCCTGTCGGAAATGAGATGCGGTGTGTCATCCATAGATGCTGCTGCTTTCCAATTTCCTTGTAAGCCATGAATTGATTGAGATAATAACATATGTAAAAATCCATAAATAAAGAGAAAACGATGAAGAAGAAAAGAAAAGGTTTCAAGTAGAATTTCAAAACAAAAGCACAGCGGAAAATTATGGTAATAATTGGATTTAGACTACTGTAGTCATAGGTGGAGATGGAGGTCTAGGGAGACTGGAAGATATTGTTCATTTTCACCATGTATATGAGGAACTGATAATTTTGAATATAATATACAAATGTTTTACACAGGGATGGCAATTTAGAATCTCAATTTTACATCTTGATTTTTTTTCCTTTTACATCTCAGATTCTGGAGGAAACTTCAGATACGTAATGTTACATAAAACCTGCTTCTGTATTCTAAAAATAGAAAGTGTATGCATAATGTTGATAAAAAAGGACTATGGAAGCTAGGTCACTGCACTAGTTAATAAAGAATGACTAGCATAGTTGAATGACAGTAATATAACTTACAGCTACCTTGTGAAATCAGAGGCTTATCTTTGAACATTTACTCAAGATTACAATGTTAGTGCCTTCCTCTATTTTTAGTGAGAATGGCTCACTATGTCTTTCTGGAAGAACACAGTTTTGCTTCTCAATATTGAGCATGATTATTTGGAAGGGTAGTTTGTATTTATTATAGTGCAATTGATTTGCAGGAAAATGTGTTTTGGGAATTATTTTAGAGTTGATTCACAAAGTTTCCCTATACACAAGTAGCTGCTGCATATCTTTGGAACGCAGCTGGAATGGAGAAATACTTGTGCATGGGTATGGTTGCAGCAATTTCCATAAACACAGTACCTGGGGAAAAATACATACATACTGTGGTCTTAGTAACTGCAGCAAATGGTGTTCTGTGTATGGCCCCATTCGTGTTAACTTTTTCCACATGTAATTTTGAACACATTATGCCAAATCAAACTACAGATGTTAATATAGGGGAATGCTAACAGTTAGTCATCAAATCAGGATTATGGCGTTTGGAAGCATTATTTATGAAGGTGTTCAGAACCAACAAGGTGCTGTACATACTTAAAAATTAGAGAGAACCTGTTTACTGGCTTCAGGTGAAGGGTGGCATTTACTTGAAAAAGCCAAGGCAGAGGCGTGTAATGTCGTCTTTCGCAAATTGTAGACTAATACATTCAAAAAAACCTTTCACTGCCTGCGCTCTATGTGGTCAGTGTAATATTGAATGCCCTTCAGGAATATTCATTTTCAGTACCTAGTTAATGAAGAAACATATGAGTACTTCATTATTATAAAGATGTCAGCTACCATGGAGGGTCTTTAGGTGGCTGATTCTTAAAAAAATAATACATGATGCCGAATTAGGACCATAGTAAGAGGTGTGAACCATTTCACACACTCTTCCTTCTTTGCACAATGAGAGGGGCTTTCTCTTCCTGTGCTGTGATCCTGAGCTTTACCCCTTGGTACGCTGGCTTTTTAAAGAGATGAATATTAATAATGGCTTTCAATATGTGTGTTCATTCTTGTATTCCCCCCCCGACTTGTTTAGATTTGCATAAAACTTATATAAAATATTTTGGGGGCAGCATTTCTTGCTTGCTGCATGAACAGTTTAGGCCTAACTATGTCTGTGATTCTGTGAGGCATCTTGCATGTGCCACATCTCTTTGTTGGGAAATATCTGCAAAACCATGTTTAGGCTGAGTCTAGAGTAGACCTGTCAAATCTCAAAAACACGCTGCCTGGATGAGTGGTGTGGGTCAAATGCCACTCACCCTTCAAAGAGGCCTTGGTGCAAACATGAAAACCTTTTCTGTCTTGTGTGCATTTTTAGGTAACTTACACGGAGTAGTTAATATTTGAAAATAGCTGGTCAACAGCCTAAATAAGCTGCTAATTGTCTGACTTTCCAGACATAATTCTGATAGCTGTGTCTGTATGAACTTGCACCTCTGTCCTGGAAAACTGCAGGTCAGTGGATTCATTGGACTTCTTAGTGCTATTTTGACCCAGATGGAGCTCATTATGATCTGCATGAGTAAGTTTAAACTGTCTACTTGTTGCAGTGTAACTTCCTACTGAGACAGAGCAAATGACTGCAAATCTAACCTAAGGAAGAATAAAAGGAGTCAAGTTCCTTAATTTTTAACAGCAACTCACATTAAAATAGGTGAGAAATGTAATGAAAGGAAAGAGGAAATGCTTGCCTATTCCAGTTACCCTCATGCTGGTAGTGTACTTGCTATATATAAACAGTTGTACACTTTAATTGATTTAATTGATAGGTTACTCAACAAGAAGTATGATTAATTGGGAAGCAAATTTTAATCAGTGAAATTATGACACACAGCCAGGCATGGTGCAGCCATATGCTGGCTTCTCCTTTTAACTGTTCCTTGTTTCGTGTTTAAATGAGTACGGCCATGTCCTTCAAGCAACAAGCACTACAGTTCCACTCCAAAGCAAAGGTGAAGGTCATGTCCAGCTCTTATGTAGCTACCCAGTCACAAGTAATCATTGTGGGTAACTGTTCCAGTAATGTTCAGCTGGATCAAGTATGTCTTTTTAAACAGAGAGGATCAACTTGAGCTTGCTTATTTAAAAAAAATCTCCGAAGTGGTAGCTGTTTCAGTCTGTGCCAGCTGAAATCAAAGACTCTTGCAGCACCTTAAAGATAACAATGAGGACTATATTATTCTACAATTATTATATTATTATAATATAAGACTATATGCTATATCTGTACTGCCCTATAATGGAATCTCATGCTTCTGTAACCTGGTACCCTCCAGATGTATAAGACTCCAAATCCCATCACCCCTGCAATAGACTGTGCAGTCTGTGGTGATGGGAACAGTAGTCCATCACATTTGGAGGGCTCCAGGCTGGGCCAAGCTGCCACAAACTGTTGTGGACTATTGTAGACCATAAAAGCTTATTTTTATGTCATTTAGTTCATTTATGTTTCTGTAATAGGAGGAGGCCCACTGGGGCGTGATGGGCCAGGCACGACTTATGTTATGAATAACATAACATAATAGGAGAAGAATTTTTCATTCCAGATTCCCAAATTGATGTAAAGAAAAATATTAAATATGGCCATTCCTATTGAAAAGAAGAATGAATAGCAACTTTCAAAAAGCGATCTTATAGTTCAAAAGATTGTACCTTTTCATGGGAGAGTACTGACAGCACTGAGGTTTTGATCATATGCAGAGTAGTCTGAGTGATTGATATTAACCACTTAGAAGGAAAACAGTTATTTAGCTGCAGCTGGTTTAATGAGTTTGCAGCTCCACACATAATCAAGTCATGAGGGGCCACAACTGATGCTCTGCCTGATCATACCAGCATGTTTACTCTGTTTTGGCTCACAAAGACCCCTTGGTCTTGTGATTTAGCCACTGACATTTTGTCAGTATATTCTCAGCTGTTGTGAGACGGGGGCTAGTTAGGTAAATTCTAACGCTGGAAAATGTAATTAAATGAAACTTGTCTTTGGAAATAAAAGACTGAAAACAAAAATGGTCTGTTTCTGCAGGAAAAATCTAAAACCAGAGCAGGCACTGTGCTTATACTGGTCTTCAGGCTGGGATAAGCAATAATTTCTTATCTAATAGAAATACATTTTCCACACTACATAATGAAAGCTTTTATGCCGGTACGTACAAAGGTGTAATGTAAGCAAGCCAAATTCTGGGCTGGGCAAACTTGCTCGCAGACTAGTTTTTCCCCTGGTGGAAGAAATCTGTAACTTTAGTCCAGACACTGCAACTTTCATCTGATGAATAGACATCTGTTTTACTGAATGTACTTTCCAAGTCACCAAGTTATAATAAACTGAACTAACAGCAAGTTTGTTGGTAAGGAATCTCTGGTTATAATGAATTCTACTTTCTGTGCTAAATGAAACTCTGCTTTGGCTTTAGATTGAAAAGAGAAGCAGGCCAGTAAATAACCCTTCAAAATCTGTGTTGGTGAGAATCTTAAATGTAACATGCAGGAATGAGGAATAAATATAGCTTAGAGATATGGAGGCAGATCCACAGGGAATGTGATTTATTTTGTTTATTTATCAAGGCTTCAATAAGTGGCTTACAGTGTGGTGAGACAGTTTGACTAGGTCCAGGGAGACTAAGTTCAAATCCCCACTCAGCCATGAATTTCTCTGGATAACCTTGAGCTAGTCATCATATCTCAGCCTAATCTATCTCATGGGATTGCTGTGAGGATAAATTGAGCGAAGGAAGTACTGTGAATACTGTCTTGAACTCCTTGGAGTGAAGATGGGACATAAATGTGAATAATAATGACATGACTGACAAGTTGCTCTGGTTTTTAAAGCAAACTTTAGAAGCAGTCTTTGACACAACACAAGGAGGTGCTGCTGGGAAAGAAGGGAGATCCATTGCAGCTTTAATGAATTAAATCTTTCCACTCCCTTCAGTATTACAATCCAAGGTTTCTGATTAAGGTGTTTTTTGGTACCACAAATACTAGTAACATACCTATGTGATGCCTCCTGATTCTGGTCTTAGTACTTGCTCAATAGAGCAGTGAGAACTTTCAAAAGTGTAGCAACCATTTATCTAAAGCAACTTAAGATTTTGAAGCATTTGGCTAAAGAATTCTTTTTTTTTTTTTTGAACAAGTTTTATTCTAAGTAAACCTAACACACACACAAACTAAAAACAACACCAATTATTGGAAACATCGGACCTACTGAATCAGCCCCCCACATTTTTTCTTTTTATGTTAAATTATAAACATATTTAAATCTATGCAAAGCCCCATTTCTCTAGCCAATGATAAAAAAGTCCCAAGTCTGATAGAAGTCTGTATCTTCTTTCTCCTTCAATGACAAAGTCAGTCTGTCCATTTCTGCACAGTCCAAGATCTTTTTTAGAATCAGTTTGTCGGTAGGTGGCTCTTCATTCTTCCAGTGCTGGGCAAATGCAATCCTCGCTGCAGTAGTTACATGTAGAGTCAAATACATTGCTTGTTTGCTAACATCATCAGGTATAATACCTAATAAGAAAACTTCAGGTTTAAATACCAAAGATTTTTGTAACATTCCCTCAAGCCATTTATGTATTTTAATCCAATATTTTTTCGCCTTATCAGAGGTCCATCACATATGATAAAAAGTATCCAGTTTGTTTTTACATTTCCAACATCCATTTGACATATTTGGAAACATCTTAGCTAATCTATTTGGCGACAGATACCATCTATAAAACATTTTATACAGGTTTTCTTTATATGAAGTAGCTAATGTTACTTTAATATTTCTTTCCCATAGCTTTTGCTATTTTTCTAATTCAATATTATGTCCAAAGTTTTGTGCCCACGTTATCATAGTTTCCTTAACCTGTTCATCTTTCATTCTGTTATCTAGTAAGAAGTTATATAATCTTTTAATCATTTTCTCATCTGATTTAAGAATCAGCTGATCAAATGCTGTTAAGTCCTTATAGAAGCCCCAAATTCTACAGTCTTTAGCATATCTTGATTCTATCTGCACCATAAGCCACCAAGAAATATTAGTTTCTTGTTCTTGTATTTCTTGATTCAGTTTCAGTCCTCCATCATCATCCAAAATATCATCATATCTTACAGTCGTTTCAAAATTCAATGCAGTTGGATATACAAGAGCTTCCATAGGTGAAAGCCATCTTGGTAATTTATTATACAGTTTTGTCTTTAACTTTTCCCACACCGACAATGATTTCCTAATGTAATGATTTAAAAAACAACCATGTGCCTTACACTTCTCATACCACATATAAGCGTGCCAACCCATTTGCAAATCATGCCCTTCAAGATATAAGATTCTCTTATTTCTTAAAGTTATCCATTCTTTTAGCCACATTAAAACAGAAGCTTGATAATACAACATCCAGTCAGGAAGACCAAAACCCCCATTCTCTTTAGCCTCCTGAAGATTTTTAATTTAATCCTTGGTTTCTTCTTTCTCCATATAAATCTTGAAATTTGAGAATTTAAATCATCAAAAAAATTTTTATCAATTTTTATGGGAATCATTTGAAATAAAAACAAAAGCTTTGGTAATATATTCATTTTAACTAGCACTATTCTTCCCAGCAAAGATAATTGCAAATTAGCCCATTTTTTCCAAATCACTCTTAATTTCCTTAGATAGTTTATCATAATTGTCTTCTTTCAATGTGGTATACTTAGCTGTAAGAAAAATTCCCAAATATTTAACCTTTTTAACAATTTGAAGATCTACTTGTTCCACCAGAGTTTTTCTCTGCTCCTGTGTGAGATTTTGTACTAACAATTTTGTCTTTTCTCTGTTTATTTTCATCCCAGTAACCTCGCCATATTCTTCAATCCTTTGTAGGAGTTTAGGCATTATTATTAAGGGTTCCTCAGTTATAAAAACTAGGTCATCTTCAGATGCTTGCAATTTATAGCTTTCATCTCTGATTCTAGTGCCTTTAATGTCCATATCATCCCTGATATTTCTATTTAAGACTTCTAGGATCAATATAAACAACAGTGGTGATAACGGGCATCCTTGTCTTGTACCCTTTTGTATATCTATAGTATTTGTAAATTCTCCATTGATTATAATCCTAGCAGACTGTTTTTGATAAATGCTAATATCGCATTAATAAATTTTTCACCAAACTCCATTTGAACTAGTTGTTGCTTCATAAATTGCCAATTAATGTTGTCAGAGGCCTTCTGTGCATCCATAAATAGCAGTGCCATTGGTTTTTCTGAGTGTATCTCATAATACTCTAAGATGTCCAAGATAGTTCTTACATTATTCCTCATTCGTCTTTTAGGTAAAAACCATTTTGATCTGAATGTATAAAGTCTGTTAAATACTTCTTTAATCTTTCTGCCATTATGGAGGCAAAAATTTTGTAATCCACATTTAATAGTGATATTGGTTTATAGTTTTGAATCTGCATCAAGTCCGTGTCTTCTTTCAGTATTAATGGAATATTTGCCTCTGTCCAAGTATTTGGTATTTTAGCATCTAACAATGCTGCATTACATATATCCTTAAGAAGCGTACAGAAAATTCCTTCAAAGGATTTATAAAACTCTGCTGGTAGCCCTTGGCTAATGAATTCTAAGTACACTTGATAACAGCACTATAAGGTCAGTCAGTCAGCATTGCTAAGAGATACTTCATGCTTATTCTTTGAAGCTGCAGGATATTTACCAGGTCGCTGCCCACTCCTACTCCTGCAAGCAGCTTTCTGTTATCCCATGCATGGGCAGGGGGGGAGGTATTATTATTGGTGCATTGCATTTATGTCTCACCTCCCCCCCCCCACCCCGGTAAGGGACTGAAGGCAGCTTACAGAGCTCCATTTTATTCTCACAACACCCCCCCCCACCTTAGGCCAAGAGTGTGAGACTGACCCAAAGGCACCCCGGTGGGCTTCATGGTTGAGTGGGGACTGGAACTCGGATCTGCCAGATCCCCAGTCCAGCACACTTACCACTCCCAGCTAGTTTGATGTTCAGTTTGCTTAAAATCCTGCTTTACCTTGATTCCGTTGTACCTGCATTTCTTCCATCCTGGGCATAGGGATCTTGGTGTTTTGTTAGTGTTGCCATAGTGAGCTTTGAGAAACCTTCATTAGCTGCTCCTTAAATCACCTTCGATGTATGGGCATCTACTGCTCCCTCTCATAGGTACAGGAAACAGAACTATGTTTTTGTGACACAACCATCATAAGATAAGGATATTATTAGTCAGGTTGGTTCACATGATCTGAACCCCTCAATGTGACTTAAATAAGCCATCATGGTTTGCAAGTGTCCTTAAGTAGCAGTTTCATAATCCCAGCCCTGCTCATAGTTTACCATTTTGTCCAAACCCAGTGAGGTAGGTTGCTGCCATCCAGAAGCATGGAATGTTTTAGGGTTGTAGGTGGTTTGTTAACTATGCCAATAACTCACATTTGCCAGACAAGATGACAAGCTATGAGCAGGGACTGCAGTATGGAACACGCACCTGTGGGCACCTGCAAAGCTTATTCAAGGCACTGTGGGTGATTCTGATAATGTAGAATATAAATACTGTAAATACTGCAATAATGTCTGCAAATAATTCTGAAGTTTCACTTTTTCAGCTATTCCTGTTGTGTTCATGTGTTTTAAAATGCTTATACTTAGTTGTAATAATATTTATATATTGTGTCTCATTTTAAGCAAATCCTGAACTTTTTTCTTTACAAAAGCAAAAACAAGAAAAACTGGAAAGAACCACACAGACACACGTTGGCATAATGAGGCTGGTTCAAAGCTCATGGCTGGGGGAAAGCCAAAGCAAACTGTTTTGTTTCCAGTAAATGCCTTAAAATATGCCAGGCTTGAAGCCTGATGCACTACAAAGGGGAGATCATTCCACTGCTGAGTAGGCCTGTCTCCCTTGCAAGCAAAAATCCATAGGATATTTTATTATGGTTGCAAGTTAATGAATTCTGATGCTGAAAGAGGAAAAATGTTTGTGTTATTGAGTTCTTTCATAATATTGCTTACTCTTTACTGGTACAACAGTGAGAAAGGAGCTAAGGGCAGCTAGCTACTGTCCTTATATTCTTGCCTTATTAGAACAGAGTCCAGGCTGTTACCTGATAGTTATCCAGTTTGTGGCTGTCTGCTAGGAAAAGATGACCAGGTCGGTGGGGCAAGAACGTGGAAACCTTTTTCAGGCACCGCCAGTTCACACACGTCTTTACAACTGTGGGAAATAGTTCTCTTCGTTCTTTTCCCTGCTCATTGAATTTTCAGAAATTTGGCACAGAATTATAGAAGACCATCTTAACTAATCTAGTTGCCTCCTCCACTATTGATAGCTTCTACAGTTAAGCATTTTTCCATTGCTACTTTAATCCATTGATATGCCCAGACCTGGCCCCAGCATTACAGTCAGTGGCAAAGTCTGCCTTGATGGGAGAAATCATGTGAATGCCATATTTCAGTGTACATTTCGATGTGCAGCAGTTGATCCAAACTCTTTTTAATCTGTGGAAGTACTCATTTTGTATTAATAAACTTCAGAACTGTATTTGAATTAATGAAACAATTCTGACTTCTTCTCTGTTGTTGTTTTTCCACTGTGCTAGTGAGCCCTGAAGATGGCAGCAGAAGCCAACCATGTCCATACAGTATTTGAGTTGGCAGAGGCAAGTGATGGCAAACACAGTCCTCATCCTTGGATCTCCTTGGAACCTATAGAAAAAAGCACCAATTTCACAGGAAGTGTGGTGAAGAAAGTGAAAAAGAATTGCAGCTGCTCCCCAGCTAGAGTCAAAGACCTGATCTTCGGCTTTCTCCCAGTGCTGAAGTGGCTGCCCAAGTATCACCTGAAAGAGAACATCTTGGGAGACCTGATCTCTGGTCTGATTGTGGGAATCTTGTTGGTTCCTCAGTGCATTGCTTATTCCCTGTTGGCTGGCCAAGAACCTATCTATGGACTATATACATCATTTTTTGCAAGCATCATTTACTTCCTGTTTGGAACTTCCCGTCACATTTCTGTTGGCATTTTTGGTGTGCTGTGCCTGATGGTGGGAGAGGTGGTGAACCGTGAAGTGCAGCTAGCAGGGTATAATTCAGAATCAAGTACGTCTAGCAATTATCATTCAGACATACATGTTTACTTAAATAGCAACAGCACTCTGAATGTGAACCAAACATCACAAATGTTATGTGATAGGAGTTGCTATGCAATTACTGTCGGAACCACTGTGACTTTCATTGCTGGAGTTTATCAGGTAAGAGGTGAACGTTCGAAGGTTTATTCCCCACAATGAGAAATAACATAATGTAGTGCTTTAAAAATACCACTCATTTATCAGTAGTAAAAGTAATTTGCACTCCCAGAAAACATCATTAATTCCAAAACAAATAACAAAAGTAAAATTCTTTAAGTAGAAAATCGAACGCCACATGATTCTTATAAAGAACTTGAAACAAATGCACACCAATTAAATGAATTTCCCCCCAGCACCATAACTCATGATCATGCATGTGAGTTGTAACTTGATTTATTCAGATACAGTTATACTTAACATTGTGTGTATTATCCTGCAATACGCTTTTGCCTTGTTGTGCAAAATTGTCTTCTGATCTTGTACATTTCTTTTCAGATTGCCATGGGCTTCTTCCAGGTGGGCTTTGTGTCCGTGTATCTCTCCGATTCCCTGCTCAGTGGATTTGTTACAGGGGCTTCCTTCACCATCCTCACCTCGCAAGCCAAATATCTCTTGGGCTTAAACATTCCTCGGAGCAATGGTGTCGGCTCCCTTGTAACCACTTGGATAAACATATTCAGAAATATCCACAAGACCAATGTCTGTGACCTCATCACCAGCTGCTTGTGCTTACTTCTTCTTATTCCAACCAAAGAGCTGAATGACCGGTTCAAATCCAAACTTAAGGCTCCCTTGCCAACTGAGCTGTTTGTGGTGGTGGCAGCTACACTTGTGTCTCATTTCGGGAACCTGAATGAAAAGTATGGTTCCAGTATTTCTGGACACATCCCGACTGGCTTTCTTCCACCACAGCCTCCAGCTTGGAATCTGATTCCCAGTGTGGCTGTGGATGCGGTGGCCATAGCCATTATTGGCTTTGCTATCACGGTGTCTCTTTCTGAGATGTTTGCCAAGAAGCATGGCTACACAGTTAATCCTAACCAGGAAATGTATGCCATTGGTTTCTGTAACATCATTCCTTCTTTTTTCCACTGTTTCACAACCAGTGCAGCCCTTGCCAAGACACTTGTCAAAGAATCAACGGGCTGTAAGACTCAGGTCTCTGGAGTGGTGACTGCCTTGGTCATCTTGTTAGTTCTCCTGGTAATTGCTCCCCTGTTCTATTCCCTCCAGAAATGTGTATTGGGAGTCATAACCATTGTCAATCTCAGAGGAGCTTTGCGGAAATTTAGTGACTTACCCAAAATGTGGCGATTAAGCAAAGTGGACACAGTAATCTGGTTTGTCACCATGCTGTCTTCAGCACTGATAAGTACTGAACTTGGGCTTCTGATTGGGGTCTGCTTTTCCATGCTGTGTGTCATTTTGCGGACTCAGAGACCAGAGGGACGATTACTGGGTTGGGTACCAGATTCTGAAATCTATGAACCCCTTCCTGCTTATAAAGACCTTCAGATTAAGCCAGGCATCAAAGTTTTCCGCTATGAGGCACCCATCTACTATGCTAATAAAGAGAACTTCAAGTCCACGCTGTACAAGCAGACTGGAATCAATCCTCTGTGGGAACTGGCCGCAAAGAGAAAGGCAGAAAAGCAGAGGCTTAGCAAGAAAATGGCCAGTGCTGATGGAAACCTGGCAGAGACCTCCGTGCAGCTTGTGAGGCAGCCACTGGAGTTCCACACCATAGTGATCGACTGCTGTGTGGTACAGTTCGTGGACACAGCAGGGATCCACACACTCAAAGAGGTTCGGAAGGATTATGGCGAACTTGGCATCCAGGTGCTGCTGGCTCACTGCAGTCCCTCTGTGAGGGATTCTTTACAGCGAGGGGAATATACTAAAAAGGGGGAGGAAACAACCCTCTTCCACAGTGTCCACCAAGCTGTGGAATACGCACTGTGTGCTTATAGCCAAAATGGGTGCTGTGCATCTGAAGTCTAGTGCGGGTAAAACATTCTGAACATTAACCATTTTCAGATAATGGCATACTGGTGTGTGTAGTGCTGGGCATTTGCTCACACAGGTGTAAAGCGCTACTCCTATTATCCCTATGCTGATCATAAGCAGATACGTCCAATGCTTTTGGTTTTGCTCTGCTGGTTAGGGCATTAAGAAAGCAGTAATGACTAGTAAGAGGCATTATGATTTTCTCTGCAACTTGTTCATGATGAGTCTCTACTTTTTGACTGCTGGCCATGTTGGTCAGGACTAATGGGAGTTGGAGTCAGGTTAGGGAAGGCCGACATAGAAGAACAAGTAACTCTTAAAGCTAGATGTGCCTTTCCCATGTCTTCATATTCCATTTTTTCTCCTCAAACGGATGCTCACTTGGGCTTTTGAAGATAGCGCCATCAATCTAGATGGCGTTTTTCCTTGGCACAGTCAATATGGCTTAGATCCTAAGATCCAAAGAAGGTTTATGGAGAAAAATGCTATGTTCCTCACACCCAAAAGTTCTCTCTGGGGCCACGGGGTTCTCTGGAGCATGAAGGGCTGCTGAGGGCGGATGTCTTGCTGATCTGGGAGTCATTTTTCGCCACCCCAGTGCCCCACAGCTCCCTGCTCAGGAGGGCTCCCAGATGGGAGAGCCCTTTCAGGGAGGGGCTTGCAGGTGGCAGGGAGGCCAATAGGCAGGTGGATACTGCTTCTGTGAACTTCTTTTCTATTCACTCACTTTATGGTCCAAGCGCACCTTTTTTAAATGGTTGGTGGTTTCTCCCCCACGATTCAGGGCAGAGTAGTTTGCCTCAGGAATTTTCCTTCCCTTGAATTGTCCAATAAATTATTGACCATAGACATGTAGTTTTGTTCTAATCTGTTGGCAATATAAAGCAGATAACTTTTGGCCCTTCTAAAACCAATCATGCATGCTTTCACTAGGATTTCAAACAGTGGAAAAGGAAGGTGGATTAGCTGTTCTGTAACTGAGAGTTTGAGTTGTGTAATTTGAATAAATGAAGCAAACTTGAAGCTTAATCAATTTAGACATTTCTTTGGAAACCAAATACTGATCCTTATTTTAAGTGAACTCATGGATTAGAGGTTGCAAATAGCTCCTCTGCCAGTCAGGTCTCCTTCTCTTTGAGCCAGCAGGTATTGCCTAAGCAATTTACTATAGACTTTTATTACACTAGAGGATATCCAAAAGGATTTGTAGAAATAGGATACCTTAGTTCTCTAGTTCCCACAGGTTAGGCATGTAAAATGTAAGCTACTGAGAATGGCTTAGAAAAAACCCTAGTAAATCGTTGAAGCCAAAAATTCCCTTCCATCCTCTGTTGGTGGGACTGGGTCTACTGAAATACTGGATTAAAAATTGGTATATTCATTTGCAAGGAAGTTTCTTTTTATACAAAATGTTAATTTTCTACCTGAATTTTATTTTAAGATATCCAGGGACAGAGTATAAGGATACTACGAGGAAAGGAAGCTGTAGGAAACCCTTATGTATTAAAACCTAAGTATTAGCATAAGATGAAGAGCTGTAACAGCTTTATTATCTTATGTGTTCATTATGAATACACTATTCCTGCATAGCCTCTTTTGTAAGCACTGCAAACAGCCATTCATACCAGCAATGGTAAAATGTCTGTTGGGTTATGCTGCCTATAGCCAAACAGGATCATTTCTTGCATTACGGGATTCTGTATAAAATAGGATTACAAACCTTTAAAAACAGCTTGTGTGTGCACTTGTGTGTGCATAACGGAGCCAGATTCCACAGAACAAATGCATGCAAGATCAATACAAGAAGAATCAATAAACAATTTCAGTTGTAAACTGAGTTCATGAAAGGTATTTTTTCTGCTTTCTTAGTGTTCTGAATAACTTTAGAACGGGGTAAATGACCCGGTGCCCTCTAGATGCTTTGGCCTACTACTCCCATCAGCCCTCCCCAGCATGGCCAGTGGTCAGAGGTCATGGCTGGTGGCCCAGCACAATTGAAGACACCAGCATAAAAATATAAGACCTGCTAGATCAGGTGTATGGCCTTTCTAGAGCACCATCTTATTTCAAGCCTTGGCCAGAAAGATGCTGTTGGAAGACCATGAAGAGCCCTCGCTCACTGTTCTGAGGCCTCCCCAGCAACAGGCATTTAGTGGCATGCAGACTGCCATTGAGCCTGGAAGTTTCTTATGGCCCTCATGGCTAATAGCCATTGATACGCCTTGCCAGCAATCTAGGCCAGTGACCATCAGTACCTCTGGTGTGGCCAGAAATTCTTTAAGTCAGTTGTGTATTGTGTGAAAAAGTGCTCTTATCTGCTCTGAGTCTACTGTCAATTTCCATGGATTACCTCAAATTATATATGGATTAAAGCAGTGGGAGTGCAGGGAGAATCTAAGTTTGCATACAATCCTGCAGTTTCCAGATAAAGTCCCAGGAGTCCTGTTTACCAGGAAGGCCTGAGGCAGTAGCTCTGTTTCAAAGAATGCAAATTGAGCACAGTAAACAATATGCTGAACCTTTTATTTTGGAAGACAGTAAGCATGCTAGCTGTTTATAAAAACACAATTCAGAACTGAAAGTGGGTACTTCCACACCGAGGAAGTACTCCTAGCACTACCAGTCACAAAACTCTGCAACGATTCAGTTGCAGAACTGAAAATGGGTACTTCCTTCTTAGTGGATAATTTTGTAGGGAAAAATGGATGAAATGGTAGGGAAATGTAATGGAGCTACATGTAATGTAGCTTGGATTCTCTGTAAAATTCCATGAATGAAACAGGACAATATCAGAATAAATGCAGCACCTGGAAGCACCTTTACAATCCACTAAAAACATTGCATTCAAACTAGTGTAATTCTTCTGAAATGAAAAAGGCCACATTCAGTGTGTTGTGTTGACAGTTGCTTCCTCTGATCCTGTTTCCCTTTCCTCATATGATTGTATGACAACTGTTACACCAGCACTGTGTTATGGGGCATTTCCCTTCAACGCTCTGTAAGAGAAAGACGCTAGTTTGTGTGCTTTCCCATGGCCAGTGCACTTGTTAAATTCTTACGGAAGCTGTGCGTTTAATGTAGGCGTGTCCCCTTTCTCCACAGAAGGCTTGTGCATACAATGACTGCCCTGTAGATGGAAGCGCCACAGGCAAAGTTTTAATAGAGGTACCGTTTCCCAAGGGGCTTAGAGATGTTTGTTAGCTAGCCCTTTTTGGAAGCAAATGATCAGATCTCCCCACTGTTCTGGAAATTGCTTGCAGGAGGACTCCATCAACTCCCACAACATAGAATGGGAAGTGGCCAGAAGGTGATAGTGCTGTTGTCCACCAGAAGGGTGCTCTGCAGGCTGGCATACTACACTTAGAAGAGGACAAATCAGGTGGAAGAGTTGAGGGCAAGCGATTAGCCGAAAACCCCCACATTTGGTTGAATTATTTTTCATTGCAGTAACTCGCATGTTACAGTAAAGTGGGTCGTAGCTTTCAATTCTAAATCTCTGATGAGAAGAGTATCATATGTTTGAAGTAACAACTAGAAAAGTTTAACACCTTGGTGGGCTTTTCATGTCTTTTTCCAGTCTGCAGCATTGCTGGATTTTTTGCTGGTGCAGAGGTAACATTTTCAGTCTCAGGGCGGAGTGGAAATGATTCCAGGTTCAAAAATTGGCTCCCGCTTCTGGGCCAAGTTAAAGTGGCCTTGGTGACATAAACTGGAGCTGTCAGGAGTTGTGCTGATGCGATGGTCCGTTTGCATGAGGGCTGTGGCTAAGAGCATCAGTCTGCTCGGCAATAAGCAGCTTTTCATCACATAGAAGGACCTGTTAATTTTTTGATGGAAAAAAATTTCTACCATAGTTTTGGCCTTTCAACACCCAGAAGTAGTACCCTGGCCTTTCCTAGCCAGAGAAGTTTTAAATTTTGGGGACTCAGCTGTGTAAGAACATCAGGGCATTCTGAAAATATCCACAAGGCTTCAGTCTTAGACTTAGTATGTTTCTTAATTTATCCTTTAACCTTTTATTACTTCTGTTTATAGCAGTTTCTGTTAGTCCTAGCGCAGGGATCGGCAACCCGTGGCTCTGGAGCCACACGTGGCTCTTGAACCCCTCTGCTGCGGCTCCGTCGCGCAAAACACGTGCCAGCACAGCTGTTGTTCTACTGGAGCTCCACTCAGGAACAGAATGCAGCTCTAGCTAAGTAAATCAGCTAGTTAAGTAAATCACTACATTCCTCTGCTAAACAAGCTTCCTGCAGGCTCAAAACGAAATGCTGCTGAAAGGATTCTCTTTGTCCCAATGTAATCTCCTTCATCTGAATGTTAAAAGCTGCGCTTGGAACCTGTCACTATTCACAGCACTTGACTGTTTATCGGCCAACCATGGAGAAATCAAAGAAAAGTTTCTGAAGAAAACCAAATGTTTAATGGTACGTGGGTCGATTCATTTGCTTTTACTGCTGATGAACCTATGGGGTTTGCTGTTTAATGCATGCAGCCCTTTAGCACTGACTTTGACTCTTCAGGAAGCTGTTCTATTCAAAATGTAGGAAAGGAGTCCTACTAGTTTATAATGTAAGATTAAAAATAACAGTTTTTAGTGACTGAACGAGCTGCAGCTAAATCATAATGAAGATATACATAGCGTTAAGGTAAAAAACGATGTATGCAGCGTTATTTTCATTTTAGATGTCAAAAGGGGTTTGCGGCTCCTGGTGTTTTCTTTTGTGTGGTAAACGGGTCCAAATGGCTCTTTGAGTGTTAAAGGTTGCCGACCCCTGTCCTAGTGTATCTCTTGTCCTGTAAATGTTAATACTGAATAACTTAACAGGTTTTACTTTAGAAACAAAGCTTGCAGTTTTAGTTAGTTACATAGTGCTAACTTTAATCTGGAATTTACAGGATTGCAAACTGTAAACATTGGGTCTGAATTGTGCTTTTCAGTGTCCAGTCAGAGCACTTTCTTTGATCGCATCCTCACTGTTCCATTTCCATCGTGTGCCTTAAGCCATGTTGGTGTTTGATTAAAGAAAACACAGAAATGATGCCAAGGGGCAGTGTAGAGCCAAAAAAGCAGGGCATGTGACTTCCAGTGAATTGAGTTGTTATATCTGTATGTCTGCCTTTCTAATGTATTTTTAACATATTTTCATTGAGGGGCCATTCAAAGTACTTTTAAAAGGCGGTGGCCATTTTTCACGCACAAGGGCATGCAGTGCCTACTCTTCTAAATTTCTGTTGCCTCCTGTTGCATGTAATGCACGGCACATAGCCGTCTGCCCTTCTCCCATCTGCCACCGCAGAGCAATTGAAGGATGAGCTTGAACTGAGAGAAAGAGAAAAAGGACAGGGCATGGTTAGCCAGCACAGTGGTTTCCCCTGAGGGGGAGTTCCCTCGCCTAGGAGTTGCTGCAAGGCCAACTTACTTGCAAGCCCTCTTGTCCTGAGGGCCCCGATGGAACACACTAACATATAATCTCACCAGGGAGAGCAACATGAAGGAGCACGTAAGAGCAGACATTTAAGCTTTCAATTAGCATAGAAGTCAGCAACTGCAGAAGAAGGTGGGTGGGGTTTTAAAATAGAAATGTCAGTGATTATAAGCATTTCTGGTATTTTTGTTTGTGTTCGTATTGTTCCTAGTACTTTTTAAAGAGGGAAGTGATTAAAAATTAGTATTATTGAGAATCTGTGTATAAAAGGAAGAATCATATCAGCATGTCCATGATGCTGATAATGTGTTGCATCTTGATAGTGATCCACCTGCACCAAGCAGCTGAATCACATGCTCTTGTGCTCCTGTGATTTGCCCCAAGGTACATGTATTGGGGTTTCCTCCTGGAAGTGGGCAACTCCTTGGCATTCCTAATGTGCAAGAGCATACACTATTTTAAAAAAGAAAACAGGAAAGCTGTCTGCTATATTATTCCCTTGAATATAATTTGCATAGTAGTGTGTTAAAGAAATGTAGGCCCTGCCATAATTCAAATTCAGACATTTTGAGTTTTGTAGATGTAGGTAAATGTTTATGATTGGAAACTTACACAGTTTAAGGTAAAACTGTAGTTTAGAAGAGAAATGGAGTTGCTGCCTTCCTATATTCCCTTTTTCTTCCCAGTAAGATGCAGTATGAGACTATGTGTGACAGGACATCGTTCTCCTGTTTGTTTTCCTGTCCCTTCCTCTTACAGTGGTCTCGTGCATGCAGAGGAATGTGCAGTATGCTGAGGTCATACTCATGTAATGTTGGCTTGCAACTTTCTCATTTTGAACATGTGTCACATTGGATAATGTATTTGTATTTGCTTTGTAATACATTGCTGGTATGGTCCTGGAACATACTATTACTACAAAGTCTCAGGTATCTAAGGTAGTATAAAAAAGATCTGCCTTGAAATTAATATATAGCCAACAGGGATGTGAACATGCTGTTAAGGGAACATTTGACTTGTGCACCAAAATAACCCAAGCTTTGTACCATGAATTTCTGCAAACTAGAAATGCACATGTGTAACAAATGAGACTGAGCTGATCTGAGGAGTGGGTGAGGGGATAAACTGATCACTTATTAAGACTTTTTAGATATGTGATCCTTAGTGAATTATAGGGAGAAAATGAAATCCCAAGTTTCACCCCTGGGTCTTTTCTTTTTTCAGTCAAATTGCACATGGACACATCCCAAAACTCTTCCATATGTTAGATCCCTTTACGGGTACAATCTAGAAAGAAGTTACATTTTCCAGCATCTGGAAATGTCCCCCTTTCTTTACTCCTCAGTATAAAAGAGCCATTCAGAAAGTAGCTGTCCTTTGCGATCATAAATAGCAAGTAGCCTCTGCCTCTACCATCTTTCTGTCTTTGTTTCCTGCTTTCTTGCAGATAATCCCTGATGCCCTTGCATATTGTTGTGGTTTGGCAAACTTGAGCTGCAGAGCTCCAGGGATTATGTCAGGTCTGGGTGCCCATGACCACCATGTTAAATAAATGCATTATCAGATACTGCTATTCATACTCTGCTTGATGAGTGGATTTAGAGAACAAGCTGTGGAATGTTCAGGACCAAAGTGCTATAACTTGACCAAATACAGTTTTGTGAAATTGTTGCATTTTCTGCCTATTTTTTCATACTGGAAAGGTTGATCAAAACACAAAGATAGACAATGAATAAAAAATCATAGCGTATAAGTAAATGTCATTAGGTGTTTTTCTTTTTGACTATGAAGCTCTAGCTGTTAAGATTTCATGCTAGTGTCTTTATAAAATTTGAAACAAACTGGAGACTTTTGTATCAATGTTCATAAGGCTTCTTAAGGTATTTACTATTAAACTATTTGATAATGCCATTAATATATTTTGTGTTTCTTATTTGGCTCTTCTGTGTTCAGGTAACAGTGAATAAATAGAACCAAACAGCAGAGTTTATGGTGACATGACTCAGGTTGCTTTATGCTAAAGATTGTCTCCACGCACGTATGTTTACACGTACGTGTGTGTGTGTGCATGTGTGTGTGCGTACATGCAGGGGAGTAGATACATAGTGAAAAATAGTTGGGCAGAAGGGGGTAATCTTCACTATCTGTGCTTCCCCCTCTTAAATCTTTCTCTCCAGCTGTGTTTCTTTGGATGCGGCTGAGACTGGGGTCCCCAGCATGGATAAAACATGTGGGATCAAGAAGTTCTGGGTGAAAGTGTGGAGGGAAAACCTCATCTATGCATGCTCACCGAGGGTCATCTCTTTGGTCAGTTCCATTCTAGAGCATAACTGTCTGGGGTATCTAGAAATGTTGTCTCTTTTTGTGGCCCGGTCCCATGCTTATTCTATCTGAGGGTAACTGACGCCATAACATTAGCATAGTATTTCCTTCCTGATGTTCTTCACTACGTCAAGATAACCCTGATTCTTCGTCGTGGCCTCTGTGCATCACACGTATGGGTTCTGCGTCTGCGCAGTGCCTTTGGCCGGAAGATTGACAGCTAACGGTTTTTTGGCAGGAAGCTCCGCTCCCCTCCCCCATGGCCTATAAAGAGCGGAGCGTCCGCCATTTTTTCAGTCTTTGCGACCGCCGTTCACTGTGCCTCGTGCTGCTTTCGTCTTTCGCTTGACCGTTTCCTCATAGCTATTGTCTTCTTCTCATTCCCAGTTTTATATCCCTAAAACTCTACTTCTAGTTTCTTCTTCTATCGTTCTAGTGTTCCATCTCTCCTTCTAAAAAAAAAAACCAAAAAAAACCCAAAAATATATTCTTACCCTCTGCACTGTCTCCTTTTCTCTTCTCGTTATTTCTGCGATGGCGCAGCGAGCGGCCTTCCGCAAGTGTGTGGAGTGTGGATCGAAAATGTCTCCGTCCGACCCGCACAATCTATGCCTCCTCTGCTTGGGGGAGGGGCATAGGACTGACAGGTGCTCCCACTGTCTGGCCTTCTCCAAACAGGCCAGAAAAAACCGGGAGAACTGCCTCCGGAGACTCCTGTGGGATCGGGCTCTCATGCAGTCCGACCCATTGGTCACTGCTCTGAAGCCTTGCCCGGCTGCAGTGGTACTGCCCTCCCGTCCATCAGATGAAGGTGCCTCTGCTTTGAGGGCCCCACCAGCTTCTCCTAAGAAAAAAAGGGAGAAGCGCAAGCATGCCGAGGCTGTAAAACCTGCCAAAAAGGCCAGGAAGGAGAAGCCTTCTAAGTCGACCCCGAAGGCTAAGGATCCGGATCGACTCCGACACCGTACCTCGGGTTTGACAGTAGCGTCGGTACCGGCGCCTCCTACCGTGCCGACACCACCCGAGTCGGCGATCCAGGCAGCCATGAGGGTCACCCCTCAAGGGTCTCCTTGCTGTGTGGCTGACCCCCTGGTTGAACTGCCGCCAGCTGTCCAACGGGGTTCGATCTCAGATGGAGAGATCCAGGACTCTCCCCCCAGGGCTAGGTCACCAACCCCTATGCCCGCAGCTACGCTGGAGGCGGATATGGTTGACACCCCGCCTAGGACCCGCAGAAGCCATTCTAGGGAGCAGCGGTCCGAGAGGGTCGAGGACTGGCGTCGTCCCTACTATCCACCTTGGAACGAGTTATACTCGACCAGATACTATCCCGCTCCAAGGGATCAACCACAATTCCACCTTTGTGACCGCCCGCCCCATCCGGATCCAAGGTGCTCATCCCCGGTACCACGGGATGATAGCAGCTGCTCCGTCTTGCCAGCAGAGTCTTCCTCTTTGGCTCTTCCTTATTACGGCGCGGATTC